AAGAGTTTTTTTTTTTTTGAACTTTTCTCTCAGTTAGAGATAATTAATAATAATATTATCAAAGTTTAGTGGAGTCAGATTTTTGAATATGTAGAATAGTTACTTGTTGTCTTGTTTTTAATTAATGAAATATTTTCTTTCATTATTGCTCATTAGTTTTTATTGATAACAAAAAATTTAAGAATTACTTAATAAGAAAAAAATGAAAAAATAATTAACTAATAAAAAAAGGGAAAATTGGAAGGCACCAAGTGAGAAATCATTGAAAAAAATCTTAAATGCAATTACAAGGATTCAAAGCATGTTCTCTTATATTCCCTCTGTTTTCAAAAACACCGAGGTAATATGTTTATTATTTTTTTATGGAGAAAATATGGCGCTCACTTATACCTATATTACCTCACTTTTATAAAAAAAATCGAGGGAAATGTTGTTTTTTTATTTAAAAAATCAAACATGTCGTTCCCAAGACCTATACGCTCAGTTTTTGGCATGTTTGAGGTGAAATTTTTGTCATAAAAAGTGTTATTTGTCGTAGTGAACAAATTTTTGTCGTTCATTTAATGAATATTAATGCTCAAAACACTATCATTAGTGATCCTCATAGAACCTAAAACTCTCATTATAAAAGCATTCTGAATACTAAAAATTGATAATGAAATATTTGACATAAAAACTTTGAAACTTAAAAACAATTTTACTTTGTTTGGGAAAAGTTCTCAAGGATGGATTCCAAGAGTAGAAAATTATTTAGGTTCAAGATTTGTATTCTTAAATAATCATATAGTTGAATATTTATTTTATTTATCTAACATTTTTTGTTTATATCAGACATTTGATTTTCCTCAAGATCAATAAAACGAGGATCTCAAACATTTGCTCATCTCTAAGATATCTAGCATTCTTTCTTCACCGACAGTGATGACGATGAACCAAATTTGAATTAATTAATTATGCGTGAACAATATAATATTTTGTGTAAACAATGTAGTTTGTAAACAAATTAATTAATTAACATTTTGTGTAAACAATATAATGAGTATTTAAATAAAAAAAGAATATATCTTTCCACTTGATTTTGTTATTAAACCGAGAGGTATATGGTGCTAGCTTGAAAAATATAAAAAAAATTTATTGATGGGGATCGAACTCATGGCCATTTCAACTAACTCATCGATTATTCTTAAATTAAAGAGTAAAGTGGTAGCTTTTCATGACTCCCTTTGTTACCTTGCCTCTTTAACCGAGTTTAAATCAATTTCGCGTCTGAGGTTGGATGTGTTTTTTTATAGTAGTATGATTTAGTAGATAAGTGGATTTATTTTCCCTTAACATAATAATACAAATCATGACCTCTTAATTCTAGGTTGCAATAGAATACTCTAACCAAAATTGAGTAATAGTCTCTAGAAAAGCTCACCAAATCCTCTAAATGTTGTGAAACTAGAAATTCTAGAAAAGAAAAGTGCTCAAAGCTAGTAAGAGTACAAAATTTTGGAGTAGGAATCTTCTTCTCCTGAAACTCATTATTGAAGCACTCAATATGCTATGGAGTAGACATATATCTTGAAACTTTTATAAGATTTGAATTTTGATTCCTTCTAGAGACCCTACGTACAAAAGCATTATTGGTTTCCCGTGTTCTTTTTGAGTCCGTGGTGAATTTGTGAGAGAAATTTATTTTGTGACTTTTTAGAGAAGAATATGAATCTAGGGCAAGGTTTGATAAAGGGTTAAATTTGGTACGAAATTTTGCTTGAATCTAATCTTGAGAGTTTATGAGATGAAAATTTGAGATGATGGATATTGGGGGCGACGCATTCGGATGAGAGAGATATGCTAAAAAAATTAGGTCTAGGCTTTAAATACTAGGAAACAAATACAGTCTCATAATCAATTACGACTTGGGCAGGTTTTACAAAATATTTAGATTTGACAAGATTTTTGAACTCAAAATTTTTTAATTATTTTATTTTGAATGAAGTTTTTAGATTAAATGCATATAGAAAAACACATGCAACATTTGGCAAGATTTTTGAACTCAAAATTTTTTAATTATTTTATTTTGAATGAAGTTTTTAGATTAAATGCACATAGAAAAACACATGCAACATTTAGCAAGACATATATCACATAGAAACATATATAGGAATAATAAAGAGTAAAAGGATATGTACCTTGTCATTGATTAGAAGAATGATTTGCTTAAGATATTATTTTCATAAGGGATTCTCATTTCTATTCTTATTTTAAAGAAAGGTTATTTGACCAAAGGCTTTGTAAAAATGTCGATCAATTGATCATGAGTATTAATATATGTAATTTGAACATCTCCTTTAAGAACATCATCTTTTAAGAAGTAATGTCTGATATCTATGTGATATGTTCGTGAATGCATAAATGGTGGATTTTTTGTTAAATTTATAGAACCTGTCTTGTCACATCTTAGAAGAATTCACTCTAGTCTTAAGCCATAATCAATTAATTATTACTTTAACCAAAGTACTTGCATACAACAACTTCAAACAACTATATATTATGCTTCGATAGTACTTAGGGCAATACATGCTTGATTTTTGCAATTCCAAGAGACTAGTGCATTTTCTAAATTATGATAAGTTTCACTTGCACTTTTTCTATCAGTTTTTATCTGGCATAATTAGAATCAGAATATCCGACCAAATCACATAAACTACCTTTCGAGTACCATAAACCTAAAGTTGAGGTTCCTTCAAGATATTTCATGATCAGTTTAACATAAGAGAGATGATACTCCTTTGGACATGATTGATAATGAGCACATAAACAAACATTAAACATTATATTAGGTCTGTTAGTCGTAAGATAAAGCAAAGAACTAATCATACCTCGATACTTTTGTCACACCCTGAATTTCTCCTACCTTTCTTTTCCTTGTAACCAAACATTTGTTTTGCTTCATGATTTTTCTTTAGATGATCATCTGGACTTTGGTCATGATCCTCTAAAGTTTAGGTCAATAAGGTCTTATTTATGTTCATAGGCCCTTAGAAGGTGTGTGGAATTCATGTGGAGACAAAGGAAGAATATGCTCTCCTTCTTATGAGTAATTATTCAAGACAATGTCAATTATCCTCAAGCCTAATTGATCTACTCCAAGACCTGACTTGTTGCAAGTTGATTTTGAGTCATATTATTCAAGATCTAGTCTCAATTTATTTCTTATGCTTTGATCTAACTATGTTCAAGTTGGTTTTCAAAGTTATCATTCAAGGTGTTTTAAGCTGATTCAAGACATATGTGATTTACCTCAAAATATAAGGGAAGTTATTAGAGCAGGTCATGAGTTCATTAAGCCACGTTGAATTTTCTTTAAGGTTGTTTCAAGATGAATTTGCTTAAACCAAGTTTTGTTTCAACTTGTTTCCAAGTTTTCAAGCCATGGTCAATATCTTTTCAAGTTGTGATTAAATTGTGTCCAAGTGTGTTGTGAGGCAAGTTATAGCAAGACATGTTTAGATTTGTTTCAAGTTCCAAATTGTTACAAGATTTGAAATTAAAGAGCCAAACTTCATTTGAAGGCGACACTTATAAGTCATTATTTAAAGTTAAAGCTACAAAGTTCAAATCATGATACAAGTGGTCACAAAGCCCATTTGGTTTCAAGCCAAATTCAAAACTCACACACCATTTGGATTCAAGGTTACAAAACAAATGAGTTAGTTATAAGAAGTACAAACATTTCAAGTTGTGGTAAAATGATGGATCATATTAAAATATTTAAAGTTACATGTTTTACAATGTTTAAAAAAAATTCATTTGTTCTAGGAGCCACCTTCTAATTCATCCTAAGTTCTTGCCAAGGCACCACAGATTTGAATTCAAATTTACAAGGTATACAAGCTTCATGATACGAAACCAAAATGATATCTGAACTTTACAAGGCCTAAGTGATAAAATCTATGACAAGCTTCCATGACAATGTGCCAAAGTTGTTATATTTCATGTCCTCCATGGGATCAAGTCTTCATTTCTTCCCCAAACTTTTTATGTTGCTCCAAGCGTAGCTTCATTTCCGTGCCAAGCTAACCCATGATCAGTCCAATTCCCAAGCAGTTTGTAACCTCTTCATTCCAAGGCATCATGGATGTCTCTCGTACCAATCCAAAGGTCTCAAACCAGTATACCATGAAAAGAAAAGAAAAAACAGGAAAGATCAATACAAAGTATGAACAATTATTCGATACACAATGCTAAACCACAAAAAATTTCATATGCAATGCAGAAAACAAGTCAAGTGTAGGCCATCCAAACAAATGATGTCAACTAAATTCATAAGTTAAGTGCAGATTATAGCAGTAGCATACACAAAAAATTGGTACACATAATCCACAAATACAAAGTGCACAAAAGGTGCATGGCAGTAGCAGAAACTCAATTCGACACACATGAAATTTCAAACTTGTAGGATTAATGTCAGCCACAACAGATATCATTTTCATGCCACAGATAATCTCATATTTACATCAATTCAAAATCAAAAATATCACAAGTCAGTACATAATGTAAGAGTAAGTTCAATTCAAAGAAAAACAAGTGCAAGACTAAAGTCATTCTAAATGTACACTAGCAGCAAAACATTCAGACATGGTACTAGCAGACATGAATTTTGGCACACATGAAATAGAAGGGAAATATACACAATGTCAAAATTAAATTCAATTTTAGCAACAACAAATAGCAGTCGTAGCACCAATACCACAAATGACATTATTTTCAATTCACAAGAGGTACAAATATTCTATAGCAAGGCACAAATTCAAGTAGGAGCCACATGAGTTTCTAGAAGGCAGAAGAGACAAAAAGCAAATCAAAAGAGTTTGGAGGCACTATAGTGGTTGGTAACAAGGAGCGGTGGGTCATTTTCATTTTAAATAGCCCCATGTGATTTGGCAGCATAAGCTTTTTTTTTTTTTTTTACTATAAAGAAGTGATATAGAACAAGACTCTAGGAAAGAAAGATGAATAATAAGAGACATTTCGTCTTGGTTCATGGAGCATGCCACGGAGCATGGTGTTGGTACAAGGTCGTTCCTCTATTGAAGTCTTCCAGACATAAAGTCACAGCATTAGACATGGCTGCTTCTGGAGTCCATCCAAAACAAGTGCATGATCTGGATTCCATTGAAGATTATTATGAACCGTTGATTCAATTTCTAAGATCATTGCCACAAGAGGAGAGGGTTATCCTTGTAGGTCATAGCTATGGTGGGATTTGTATATCTGTGGCTACGGAGTTATTCCCAAAGAAAATAGCAGTTGCTGTATTTGTTGCATCTAGAGTGCCTTCTCCTGAGCTAGGCTTCGAGACTGCACGCAAGGAGGTACATAAATATTAAATATCCATACGGCAGTAATGTTTTAATATATAGATTAAAATTATAGATATTCAAAATTATAGATATTTTGATAACCGCAGGGTTCCAATTTTGAATCAAAGATTATATTGGACGATAGCTCAAATAATAAATCAAATGGATCCATACTACATGAGCCAGAATTCATAGCATCCCATATGTATCAACTATCTCCACCTGAGGTATGTTGGCTAATCAATATGCTTATGTTGATCACAAAAAACTTTTATAATCTTTTTATTAAAAAAATGAATATAAATTATTTTGGAAATAAGATGTTTATAATAATTGATTATTTTGATAATGTTGATTATATATGAATTAGGACTTTTCTCTTGCAATGTTATTATTAAGGCCTATTCGTACATTTGGTGATCAAGAACTATTTCGAGAGAAAACAAGGGTCTCAAAAGAGAATTTTGGAGCTGTTGCAAAAGTTTGCATTGTGTGTCAACAAGACAAATTGTCAAAGTATGATTTTCAAATGTCAATGATTGAACAAAATCCTGTGAATGATGTCAAAGTGATTGCTGATGCTGATCACATGGCCATGTTCTCTAAACCTCAAGAGCTTTTTGCATATTTTCAAGAAATTGCAGAGACATATTATTAGCAATTTAGTAAGTATGTTAATGGTTAATTTGAATTTTTTTATTAGTTAGAATAATAATTTGATTTTTATTATTTAAATAAAATAAAAGAAATAAGAATGTGTAGAGAAATTAAGGGTAAGTTGGTAATTATAAGAATAAGTTGGGGGTAGAAGAGAGAAAGTCTAATTATAGGAGAAAATAGATTTATTAGAAAAAGAGAGAAGTGGGAAGAGAATCATTCTTTATTGTACGTAAAAATTTGGAAAAGAGGAGAGGAGGTTAGGGCAAGAGAAGGCATAGGAAGAACACCCATTGGTAGAGTTTGGAAGAACTTTGCAAGAGAAATCTAATATAAGGGTGGAGAATTGTTTTCAATGATAGTTATATGTATGAAGGGTAGAGTGGAGGGACTCTTAATCTCCTATAGGGTTTTGTTCTTCCTTTGAGTTATGATAAATGTTGATGAAAATTTGATGATAGTTTTGTTTTACATGTCATGATGTGAATTGAAATTGTGTGTGTTGACATGATGTTGTTGTGTTCTTCAAATCAATTGAATCCATGAAAATTGATATGAGATTGAATGATTTGGAAAATGAATCTAAGTGTTTAATTCATGAAAAAATGGATAGATTGATGATGATTATTGTGATATATGTATTGATCTTGTTAGAAAATATATGGGGATGTTTTTGAATGAACAAAATTGGAATTGGTTGGTGGTTGAAATTGGAAATTGAAAGAAAATCACGTAAGAGAAAACTAGAATTTTTAGAAAAAAAAACTACAATGACAATCGATTACATCAAACGACAATCAATTGCATTGTTTAAAATTTTGAAAAAAAAATAGCAAAGCAATCGATTGCACTAAATAACAATTGATTTCCTATCATAGAAAAGTAATTTTTACGAAGTCAGTGGCAAAATGTGTTTCAATGACAATAGATTGAATCAGAATGAAAATCGATTGCATCAAGTCAAATAGTGAAAAATTCTACTTTTGTTTTGTTGCGTTGCTCGATGATTTTGATTGTATCTTTTGATCTGTAGATCTAAATGACATGTCGTTTGAAGCGTTAGAAAGCTAATATGCAGAACTACCTCATGGTAGTACTAGATGCAATGTTTGATTTGTATTCAATTACATACTGTAGGGATGTTTGTGATTATTTGTATGATCGACTAGCGAATTGTTATGTTTATACAATGATGTGTTGTGATTTTGGTGAAGTAACATGAATGAATGTTATGATGAATTTACTTATGAGTTGTGAGTATGAGTTGATAAATTATACATGTTGAGATGTGTATTGTTGAGTTAAAGGTGAGTTGCATATATGTGAGTTAATAATTTTATTGAGTTGAATTATTATATGTGCTCAAGTTACGTTGGTATGACGAGATGTTAAGCATTGAGAATAAGTATGAAACATGGGAATGTTGTGAATATGGATTATTTTTAGTTATACTTGTTGTATTGTTGCATGTTTGAATATAATTCTATTGAGATGAATTATTAGCAAGCTTGTGTTGCAATGTTGATTAATAAAGCGCATTTTGTGATTTTGGTGTGATGTAATTCAAAAAGGGGATTACTTGAGTTGTCAATGCATTTATGTTAGGATCAAAAAGGAGTCTTAAAACATTGATTTGATGATATGATCATGCATCATAAGAGTTGTGTCAAAAGGCATATCTGCTAGTTTTGAGAGAGGACTAATGACTTGTTCCAAGCTCAAAAAGGGGGCTTGGAGCTCAGAGAGGGGGCTCATGGGTTCACAGATGGGGCCCGGTTCCTGAGTGAATAATTGTTGAGCTGGTACCACATGTATAGAGTTGCATTTCTAGTATGAGTTACATGAGATAAATGCATATGATATTGATATTGTGTGTATTTAGTGTGTGATTGTTATATGAATGAGTTGTGATTGATGAGGTGGTGTAAGAATGTAATTGATATATTGTGATTTGAGATTGTGTAGATTATATTATGTGTTGATATCCTATCTTGCAGTATATGTTTGTTATTATTGAATATGATTTATCACCCCTTATGTTTGAATGTGACATTTACATGGCATCATGCAGATACTCTGGAGCACCATTGCTGAAGTAAGTAGAAGATAGCTTTTGGAGTTACTTCTTTAGTTTATCACTTTGACTAGTGGTGCCATGCTCTAATCATGTAATATCGGGTTGAGGATAAATGCTTGAATTGATTCTTATGTCGTTTACGGTTGAATCCAAGACTATCTATGTTGTTGATATCTCTAAATTGTTTTGAGTTGACTGTTATGAACTCATTTTGCTTTTATTATGAAGTTAACATTTATGGGACTAAATTTCATGAGTTGCAATATTGTTGTTAATTGTTTTATTAATGATTCGGCTACGATGACACCTTAAACATTTGGAGGAGTATGCGATGGTAGGTTTTAAATGCCTTATTATATGAGTGTGTAATACAGATCAGATGAGTTGGATGTCATATAAACATCCCAAGTATAGATAAGATGAGTTGGATGTCATGTAAACATCTCAAGTACAAATGTATGTATTAAACTATTTTTTGTAACCCGTGTTACGGAGCAGGTTATGTGGCTTTTATGTGTGACACCTTGAGTGGTTGTATTATGTTTAATCAAATTCCATGATGATTTTATGTGCGGGATTTAGGGGTGTTACAACTTTCATGGCGTGCGAAATCTAGACATTAATCTCAAAACGACTAATAGCTTTCTCATTAGAAAACGAGTCTTTTTGTCACGGTGGGCACCTCGCTACTTTATTGTTTAGCAATCTTCTTTCAGAAAACAATGCATATTCTCTCGAATCATGCTCAAGTACATGTTTCCTTTGCTTTCACAACCGACATAGACATTTGAATTGTGACTCAGATTATAAAATAAAAAGATACTCAAAACATTTCTCATAATGTATGGTGGATAAATTTCTTAGGGGTTGTCGTGAGAGAAGTTCTCACAACCCTTTATCCTTAAGGGACTAGTCACACATGTTGGGATGAGTAATAAAAATAAAAATATATAGCGACATTTGCAAGAGAAATAAATGAGTTAAAACAAGTAAGAGCAATAAAAACTTAAAAGATGAAAATGAAATCAAGATTGTAATACCCAAAAATGAAAAAATTACAAGAGAGTAACAATAACGTAAAGCTAAGACCTAAAAGAAATAAGAAGTGTATGGAATGATAATAGTAGAAGCGATGTTTTCTAATCATGCCTAAGCCTCTATTTATACTAATCCAAGTCATAAATCACTAATAATTGGCACTAAATTCGACCTTAATTATTACTAATAACTAATCATAAAAGTGCGGAAAGTTACAGATGCCAAAAGGTCACAAAAACTGTCAAATGATCAAACGTTTGTAACTGCCTGACTGACACGGGATGCGTCAAGGAATACGGGTTAGTCGTGTCAGCCTCTAGTTTCTTGTATGTGCATGCTTCAAAAGGGCCAGCATGGCCCGTGTCACGGGACACGACTAGGTTGTGTCGGTCTCAAGAAATTTGTAAAGGAAGCGCTCCTTTTTGTACGATCTTTGACCTTTTTCATTCTGATTCGCGCCATTGACCTCTTATTACCTAAAAACAAACAAAGGAGACAAAAACGCCTAAAAATGAACTAGGATGATGAAAAACACATGAAATCAATGGATAAACAAACAAGAAACATGATACATTTACTGCTTATCAAATGCCCCCAAACTTGAATTGTTGCTCGTGATCACACTACTACAAATAATGCTTAGGATCAAGGGATTTTCACTCTTCAAAAGCTCACAAGATAAAATCATTGATACTCATACGTGTTTTGTCATTCCAACTGAGTAAGACCTAAGTTCCCCCATACTTACCAACACAAAAAGTATTACAAGAACCCAAAATCGTAAATACAGTCAAAAGTTTCTATTTTAGTCACCTCTCTAGCTACTTTTTGGACTTAAGTCTCTGCTTCAATTTTTCCTTCCTTTTTGTTAGACAATACAATTATGAAATTTTTAGAATAATAATAATCGTCACATACATGAGATCAATCGAGAGAAGATTTTTATTTTTGCAGATGAAATTTGTTTGCATACTTTTGTGTGTTTATTATTGACCATTATGGTTCGACATTGGGGTTCGACCACTGTTGGGCTGAATAACCGAGTGAGGGCTACCTAATTTAGAAGGTGTAGTCGCCTTTTCCCACCATTTTCATCTTTTGTTGCTTTTTTCTCTCTCTCTCAAACGATCATCAATAACAAGTGAATCAAATGTTTTCCTTTATTCTTAGCATGGCATTTCACCAGGTTTAATCCACCAGACAGATCAACCAAATTGTCCTCGTCATTTGGTTGTGACATTAATTATTGTTAGAGAGGTTTTCATATCATGCATTTATTCTTATATTCTAATAGGGGATATCCTTGTTAGTTTATTCTTGATTCTTGGGTCCATTTCACTCTTGCCCTATGGTATGTAGAACTAATGCTATAAATTCTAGGTTTATGGAACATTTAATGTTTTCCCTACCAAAATTAAGGTAATGATTACATCATAGGAAATATTTGTGTGACGATTTTTCAACACGGGTAGATTCTTCTTACTCTATTTTTTATCTTTTCTCTTTCTCTCAAGTTATGTTTCTTGTGTCTTCTCAATTTATGAGTAGATTCTTTGAAATCCCCTCATTTATTAACATTCGGTTACCCACCTTTGTTTCTTCCAACTCCTTTCCAATAAAGTCATACCTTCCTCAAGATTTCTATTTTGGTATATTCTTCTCATTCTTCTTTACCTATTTGTTTTCTTTATGTTTTGAAATTGGGTGAAATGTTGTTTATTAATGGTGACATCGTTTGTTAAGTGTTGTTGTGAAATGCTTTAAAATAGCTTATTTATAGCGGTGATACATTTGTAAAGACTTAGGGCATGAGAGTTAGTAAAGACGTCATAGATGGTGAGATTTACTATTTGGTCACTTGGGTGCATCCACCTAGTATTCAAATT